ATGCAGTAATTAAGGAGACAGACATGAAAGAGTGCAATAGAGAGAAAATGCTTTCCTACTCTAAATGCTTGATTCATTCTTTTCTTTCTTTCCTTCTTGCTTTCTTTCTAGCATTTAGGTGGCTCTCACCATCATAGTACTCCCCTAATATTCCTCAGGTGCTTATCTCTGTCCAATAATGAACCCAACAGAAAAACCTCCCACTATAACAGGGGTGGGCAATTATTTTGGGCGGAGGGATGCTTACCGAGTTTTGGCAAGCTGTCAAGGACCACATGGGTAGCCCCACCCCCTGACAGGTGCCCTGCCCCTGGTCGTCATCTTAGGACCAGAAGTCCCTCCCCTTGGCCCTGGAAATACTCCTTTCAGCAAGGGGTTGTGCCATCTCAGAACCAGAAAAATACCAAATTATATTCTAAAAATCAAACATACACAACATTCATTAATTTGATTTCAAAAAATATTTTTGTCCTGGTTTACATGCGTTTGTGTAGTGTACATTTTGAATGAAGTTTTACTTTTGTATACTGCAGGGGGATGGGGGAGTGTATATGTTTGTGGGGGGCTGTGGGTGTGTGGGTATTTGGGAAGGGTGTAGGTATGTATAGGGGTGGATAGGTGTGGGGTGAGGGAGCATGTGGGGGTGTGTGTGGATATGTGGGGTGTGGGTAGGTATGGGGTTTGTGGGGGTTGTGTGTGGGGAGGAAGGCTGGGGGGGTCTGTGTGTATGGCAGTGAGAGGCAGGGTGTGGGTGCATGTGTATGGTAGGGTGTGCTTGAACACACACACATATACTGTGCCTCCCCCTCCCCCACCCTCATTACAGAGACAGACACCCCCCCCCGGCTCCAGGGTACTGGCGCAGCCCTGTGCTCCCATGGTGCAGCAATGAAGCCTGTGGCCATGTGGTGCTGGAGCAGGCATGAAGGGAAGCAGTGAAACCCAGGGGAGGCAGAGGCTTCTGGTTGGGAGGGGGGTGAGGGTGGGGCAAGGCCGGGCCAGCCTTGCTCCTGAATCCTGCCAGCTTCCCCTAGGTCCTACTGCCCCTGGCTCCTGTCATCTTTGACAGACAGCCAGGAGCAGATAAATATTAATTTTCTAAACTTTTTATGTGCCCTGTGGCCTGGATAGAATAGCTTGGTGGGCTGGATGTGGCCCACGGACCATATTTTATCTGCCCCCACTCTATAACATAATGGTTTTAGGCACTAAAAGGGGTTAAAAAAGTCTCACCCTTAATAAACTTAATCAGGAGTTCTTGGAAATCAGTCACGTTTCCACACCATTTAGCCTGGTGTTCCCACACTTCCCAATAATGACCCATTTTGAAAACTTTTGCCAAATAAAAAAAGTAAAAAAAAACCTCGTAATTTAATTTTATGCAAAGAGAATAAAACAGTTCTACTGGAAGAGAACTGGGTTCTAGGTTCCAAAAGTTGCTTATGCATTTCAATATCATGTGACATTATAAGATTATTCAGAAGGCTGCAATAAACCTCAGGTTTCTAAGCAGCACTTGAAAAAACGTCAAAAAAATCTGTCAGTGTGACTTCTTCTAAATTTTGTTTTAAAGTGATACAGAAAAAAAATCTGTTTGTGGATTAAGAATTAGCATGCCAAGATCCAATTCACACTGAATTAGTAGGGACATGTAATCAGGATTTCTAACAGAGCTATACTCAAAATGATGAAGTGGGCGACACTACAATAGAAAAAATATCTAGTTAGCCAATGACTTGTAAAATATAGTGAGTAGAGCTAAGCTTCATTATACATGGCAAGATGAAGTCTGGATTTGTGCCCTTTTAGATATTCTACTTCCCCATATTTTTATTTCAGTATTCTTTTTTTAACTGAAAATTTAATTAAGTACTGTAGGTATCTGGAGTCAATTATAGCTTTCATGCCTGCCAAGTCTGATTACAGCATACTTTTTCACTGCCATGGTATCTTATCTGGAGAAAATGAAAATGCAAACACTTGCAGAGTAAGTAACTTGGTCTCACTTCATACCCTTCAGTCAAAGAAATAATAGCAAAAATTACAGATGCAGTATCTTGACCAAAATAAATGTAATTCCAGTTGCAGAACAATGATGTACTGCAACATGAATAAATCCCCAAGTTAAGCATGATGCTGTGCATAAACAAAACAAACCTGCCTCTCATGGAAACATCTGAGACTGTTTTCAGTGCTCTATAACTTTTGCTACTGTAAGCATTAATAATATTTTCTTAGCAAATATTGGCATTTTTCAAATTACTCCAAGAATTTAATGTTAAAATTCTCCTAGAATGGACACAGGCTTAGTTCAACAAAATTAAAGTCATTACCAGGCAGAGTAAAAAGACCAGACATGGTTCTATTCTTACTATAAACAACTCAAATTTGGAAATAGATGCACCAGCAGATTATGCAGAAGTAAAAGTCTCTCTGGATCTAGAGACATTTTGTATTATTTAAACAATGATTGTTCCTTAAGCAAAAAAATCTTTAGAGTACTTTTTCTTGTGTGAAATCATCAATTAAAAATACAGCTCTTAGGAAAAAAGGAAGTGGCTTTTTCCTCGTTTTGCTTTCTCATCAGAAAATTACTGCTTTCAGATATTATTGGGACTGAACCAACTCTAAAGCATGAATGAACCAAATGAAGTTTGAAATCTGACCATTGATACAGTTTGTGTAACGCTGAACAAAATTACTGCATGTGTTCTTCAGAGAAGGGTAGGGGAGAAGTATCTGAGTGGTAGAGTGTACAAGAAGAATGCAGACAAAAATGGATGTCCGCCAAAACCAGAAACATGTTGTCTAGAAAAAATAACTGATTATGAAGAACATCCTCGTTTATATAATCTACCAGATGTTGCTGAACTGATTTAAAAAAAACAAAACAAAACATAGAACTAGCTTATGAGTCACAGGGTACAATTACAGTTGAACAAATGTTTATTGGCGCTTTAATTAAAGCAAATTGTGAGAAGTGGAATCAACATTTTTATTAAACTAACTATACATACAGGTATGATTTTTTTAAAAATTGTGCACATTTAAAACAGCCTTCTATGAAGAAAATGAAACCAACATTAATCAAAGAAATATAATATGTTGAATGAACAGCCCAGTCAGTTCCACTGGTGGTATTTTTGAAGCAGGTTATTAAAGAAAGTTGTTGGAAATGAATTCTTCATATGGAATTGCTTTATGCAGACAGAAAAAATAAATGCATGACTTGGGTGTGGAATGGCAAGTCAGAGGTCTGGAACTGCTCAATGGTATAAAGTATGGAATCAGAAAGGAAAATCCTTTTTAAGTCACAGCAGCTACCCATGCAAATTCTCTGTATAGAAATGTATTACCATCTTAAAAGTAGCAATTGTCTAGGATATCTATGATGGGATATAAAAATATACTAAAGAGTTAAATTCTGACTACACAATAAATGTGATTTTTGATAGTTCTCAAAACCAATATATCTGGGCAGGTCCTGATTTCTTTTTCCTGGCATTCTTTTCAATTTTACTGTTAGAACAGTAACTGAACTAGAAATAAGAGCAGGAAAAGGAACCATGAATGTTCAGTATCACTCCTGCACTTCTACTAAAATATTGCCTCCACAGATTGTATCCAGTCAATCCCTACCATTACAGTGACAATTCCAAGCTTTTACTGATTTGATCTTTCAATGAATTATTTTTATACAAAAGATCTATCTTTAAGTAATTTTACATCAATGTTTCCAAGTTCCTGTTTCTTTCCTATTGATGGATCATAACAGCAAATGACAAGTCATGTTTAACAGTGCATATATAACAGATGTAAACACATACTACTACATACTACTTATGGTAAATCTAGAACTGGGTTTAACAGTGGCTACATCCAAAATGTTCTAAAACTAATAAACCTATAGAAAACTAAAGCTTTGTACAGGAAAAATAAAGAGCTGCAATACTCTTTGCAAGTTCCTCCAATGAGAGGGGTGGGAATAGGTTGAATCCTTTTTGAAAACAGGATATTCAAGGAAGGAAAACCTTTTCCAAGAGAAATCCAGATTATAGGCAATGAAAGGAAAGAGCTAAAACATTTCCCTCCCAAACCCAACAGTTTTATGCTCTCACTATTTTAAATCAGTAACGTAATAGGGCACCTATAAACACGACGTGCTAATTAGCATGCATCAGAGCAAACTCGATTAATTGAGTCTGCTGGAGCGTGTTAATTAGCAGCAGCCTCCGCATCATGTGTATTCAGCATCCCCATATTTCAAAATGGCAGCAGGGGTGCTTTAACTAAAGCTCGAACAAGCTTTAGTTAAAGCATGCCCACCACTATTTTGAAGCTCTCAGAGCCGGTTTAATTAAAGGCCCCCCCCCCCCCGCAATCACAGAGCACATGTATAGATGCCCCTAGATTTTATCCAAACAAGAACAGTTTTATGAGCCACAGGGTAAACACATACAGTACGTTTAGAGCACTAGTTCAAATGCACATTTTAAAAGAGCTGTTAAGGACTGTGCAAAAAAATGCTGAAGTAGGACAAATCATAAACAATTGTATAACATAACAAGTGTTTTTACTGTTTCTTTATTAGTTTATAGGAAACTGGAGCCTAATAACAATATGCCTCATACAGTTCAGAATAAAGCAATGGTGTTATAGTTATTTACCCTACTTTGGCTTCCTTTAGGAAGTTATTGAGAACAGTTGTATACAGCACATAATTACATTTGTTTTTAAACTAACACAACAGGTAAATTAACAAACTTCTTTCAAACATGATGTGTAAGGAAAACAGGAAATCTTTAGAGTTGGCAATATTTATTATATTAGTTTTTATGTTACTGTGTTTGTTTTTTATAAAATGTTATTGCTTTTATGGCAGGACTCTCAAGTCATGTCTGCATTTATATATAAGACAACTTACTACAAAAATAATGTGTTAATTTGGACATACTATGAAAAATAATAGTTATAATGGAATAACTGCCTGGCAAACAAACTTTTGTGGTTGATTTTGTTTAATGATTGAAATATGCACTTGAGAACATTACGTTAATTCTGTCACTTTTTTATGACCTACACAAATAAAAAGATGCAGTTGAGAAACTGAAGCCTTTCTGCCATTGTTTTCTTCTAATTACAATTCATCTAATTAAAATTCAGTGTATTAAATGCAGTTGAGTAGATCCATGCATACATGACATATCATCAGTCCCACATCTTGACAGTTTAAATCAAGAGCGTCTCATAAAGGTTCATTTCATATCATCATTCAGATTCAGTGTATTATTCAGTTCAAAAGATTATAAAGGAGTAGATGATAATCGCCTTCAATAAATCCATTGATATAAAACTTCATGTGAAGCATAGTAACACAGAATTAAAAGTGAACAATATTTCAAATTCAGTTGTGTCAGATTTGACCTGGACTAAAGTGATGCTTAAATGTCTGATTAACACATTTCTGTAATATTAGAAAAAGATTTAGAACACAGAATGTAATGTTTGAGCAACTATATGCAACACTGAAAGGTATATTAACTGTAAAACTGACAGGTGGTTTAGAATGACTTACTAAATGTAGGAAAGTTATTCACAATGAGTGTGGAGGCAGATAACTTATTAGTCCAAAGAGACAGCATATTGTAATTTTAATATTTTAAAATCTACAATAATTCAAAAAGCTCTGTATTTTGCATTTAGATAGAAACATTCACTTTTGAATATCAGTCAATATCCCTACAGTAAAACACTTTTTATACCAAGTTGGGTAAGACATAGGACTGCTGAATTTGTCTTCAGGGAGATGATTCAAGGAATGTACTTAAAATCCTGGTTCACTGTATTTACAAATCTTCAGAGTAGAAAGGTGTTAATTCAGACTCTGTATTTTGCTTTGCCCTGGTCATTGATGACACATATGTGCTGGGGAAAAAAACAACAACATTGATTGCAATAGCATATATTGTCTGTACTAGGCTTTTGAATTGGTCAGACTCAGTTAACTGCTAGTTTGCTCTGCAGAGACCTAGGTATGAGTCAAGATCCCAGTCTCCCACACTGGCTATGCAATTAGTGAAATGCCACCAGAGGCAGACCACCATGGGAACTGCTCGAAAAGACTCAGGCCTTCTTTACCCCTGTTTCATTGAGATCAGCATTAGATAGACAGAGGATCTGAAAAAAATCCTAGCAGAAACAAGTCCTCATCTCTCCAGACTTGCAGAGGATGCTAGTGTGGAGAGGTGATTCATTCGATTTGTAGTGGAGAGAAAAGGCCTGAAGGAAAGGGTAGGAAAGAATCGCTCCGATTGCTCAACCATCTTTCTGGACACTTACAGAATGGTGTTTCAATTCCAAAGGGAATTCTATGCAGTCCTCTTTGCTGAGGTTCATGGCCATAACAAAGCCTCAAAAAATGGGCAAATAGGCTATTCACGATTCCCCCCACATGAAAAAAATAGCTTGAATATAGTTAGAAACACTTACGTTTAGATCTCTGAAATACTCATTGTAGTCTAAGGCATAGCCTACCACAAATATATCAGGGATTTCAAAACCATAATCTACATGGAGAAAAACAGAAAACATAAGTGATGTCAAATATGTTAACAAACATTAAACAAACCTTAAAACTACTTAGATGTGCTAGTTCTTTTATCAGGAAAATATATGCACATGGAGCCAAATTCTAAGCTGTGTTAGTTTTTGGCTTGTAGACATGTACATCATTACAACCAATGCCAGCTATCAATATGGCCAGCTGTGGCCCATACACAGCTCCTGTACAGAGCCTACTTGTGCCAGAAGTGTGAATAATCCGTATAAACAAGTCAGTGGTCAATTTCTGGTCAATTACACTACAATTTCTGACCCCTATATCCTGCCCTAGGATGTCCCTCTGTGGTTCGTTATGGAAGGCTGCAAAATGGCCTCTCTGACACTATGGAAAGGAGCCAGAATCACGGCAGAAAAGTCCCACCCAGGTTAGGATGCAGCTTCTCAGGCATGCACATGTGATAACTATGTAGTACCACACCACAGAGGAAGCAATTTAAACTTTAATTCATAGGGAATTCAAAGATCCAGCAGTACAGCCTATATACATTCTTTTTTGAGAGTAGCAAACACAATAATGGTATGTATGGACATTTGGGGAGGTTAGGGGGAAGGTTAGAGCACATTAAAAATGGCCACCTGATCCAACTTAGTTCGCCCATGTGCAGATCTAAAGTCAACCTAACTAGGGATCTAAGTGTAAGTGCAAACTGTACAGAAGCTCCAGGAAGGTTATATCACTTAAAAAAATAATGGATGACCTGATCTAATTTAACTGCATCTCAGAGGTGCACTAATTTAGTTCAGGTGTGGGAAGACTGACTTACTGGGGAGGTACCAGCCTCTTTCCGGTGTGGGGGCTGGGCTGGGTCAGGCTGGGAAGCTTGGGGAGGGGGTTGCTACCCCAAAATTCACCTTAGCCTCCTCCCCGCTGTAGCCACCTCTCCCAGTGCTGCTGCTGCCTACCCACCCTGTGCAGCTGAGCCTTCCCTGCTCCCACCCGCTCCAAGCCGAGCCCTGGCCCAGCCCCCACACTGGGAAGAGGCTGGCACCACCCCTGCCAGGAGTGCCGTACCTTTGCAGGTTCACCTGTGCGGGGCAGGCAGGTGGTAGTGGCATGGGGAGAGGTGGCTACGGGAGGGCTAAGGCAAATTTCAGGGTGTCTATAGCCTCACCAAGGCTTCTCCTAGCAGTGCCCCTGCCTATCTAATTGAACTTCTGTATATATTCCTAGCACAGCCCCAGGGCTCATCCCAGCCCTGGGGCTGTGCTTTTCCTACTGCCCCCCTCCCCTGGCACCGAGCTAGTTTTAACTCCTGGCACCTTCCCCCATTCTCAGACAGATACTCCTCCCCCATGGACCAACCAGCCCCCACCCCGAGTCTGTCAAAACTCCTGATCCTTAAAGCTGCTCCTGAGGCCAGTTTTACCCAGTGTTCACCAATGCCAGGAGCTGATGGGTGTAAGATGGAGTGGGGGAAGGGTTGCTTTGCCAGGGGATGAGTTGGGGGAGCAAGAGAGTCCTGCCAATACCTCCCCTTGTGGAGCAGCCAGCCCCTCCAATCCAACCACTCCGACTTACTTCAATCAGGCTCTAGGGTTAGTGAACACTAGTAAAACTGGCCCTAGGAATGGTTTGTGGAATTGGGTGTCGTTCGGTAGCATTGGGGGAGTCTGGGGAAATTTGTTGGGATCAGACAGCCTCTCAGATTCCACAATCCCACCCCCCCACACAAACCCACAAACCTGTACCTCAAAGCCCCCTGCAGACCTTGCTAGCCCCCGCAATTCCCTCAACCCCCCCATGAACCACACCTTACCTGCCCCTCCCCTGATTTTTAGATTGGGGGCCATTGTTAACCGGATCTAATCCCGAAAACTGTTAGTTGTAATGTCTATACAAAGCCTATGTGTATTAGACTAGCACCTACAGTTGCTAAATGCTGTACAATTAAAGACCCAAATTCCACAAAGATTTAGTGAAAGAGACCAAGCATTGTGGTTAATTAAAGACATGTTTTTTCATCAGAATACAAATGAGGAAACAAAACCAAACAGAAGCAAACTGCCTGCTTGTTGCTTTTTAGCTCAGGGTCGTCATTGTTAGAAAATTAGGGGGTCTCATTGTAGGAACAACTGGCCTCATTCATTTAACCTTAGCTAGGCCAATAAAATATATACTTAATAGACTAGCCCAATTAGATAAATTACAAATATTAAAAAATGAGAATGATGTACACAAGGTGTTCCAGAGTGGAATGCCAGGGTGCTAAGCCAAGTTGCAGCAAACGCACTTCCTCCCAACCACACAGATTACACCAGACTTCCTGGCCCCTCACTCTCAAATTCCAAACTAATCCTATATCTGGATTAGAGAAGTGCCATTCTCTCTCCTACCTGCCTTCCAAAATCCCTCCTATCCAATACTGGTACTTAATCTTCTCCAAGACAACCCAGCTCTTTCAATTTTTAGCCCCTATAATTTCTACTGGGTCATTTATTCTAATAAGCCTATCACAGTAATAGCATCGTGCCTGCGTCTATGCATCTCTGATCACACAGCATCATACAGAGGGCAATAACTTACCAGGTACCAACGTTTCAAAGAAAAGGTGGATGCTGGCTAGCAGCAGAGAAGCAAGAGGTTGGCAAATCAGAGAAAACAAAGAAGCCCAAGAATGTAGCCCAAAGTATCTTGTGCTTTTCTCAGAAAGTTACCTGCATCTCTCATTGGCTGGTTGGAGGAAAGGCTAAACATGCTACCCTTTAAGTAAAAGTACTTTTCTAAAGCAAATAAAATGTATATTCTTTTGCCATTTAACAGTAAACTTGCACATAGGATGCAGTTCTCTGTTCAGATGGAATTCTACAGTAGAGTGCTAGGAGAATGTTCTTTTAAGGTATGACAAGCAGCAAAGAAAAGGCTATAACAACCCTTACAGTTGCCCAAACATAGAAGGAAAAACCCTGAGTTGTCATGGATAAAATGTAACCAATTAGTAACTTTCAGGTAAACTTTCAAATAAGACAATAGCAAAAAAACCAAAACAAAACAAAAAAAACTTTATAGTGCCAATAGCTAGGACCCAATAAGGAGATCAGACCTTCCAAACCCCAGAAAGTGGTCATTCCTATGCAGTCTTCTAATTTCACAGGCTATTGACTGTAGGAGCTGAACATTTTGTATAATGTTAGTAGAACAATATGCAAAGCTATAGCTAGCGTAATGTTAGCTTATTGTACCGTGATGTAAAGGAAGTTCTCATAAGAGCACTTACAGTCAGGTCTGAACCCATCGGGCTGAGATGTTCTTTTCACCAACAAACTATCATTAAAGAAAATAAAATATTTTTTATATAAAAAGCTGGATTTGTCTGCAAAACGTACATTTAAAAATGTGTTAATTTCCTTGAAATGCCTCAGATGTACAGATTCCCCCTCTGTTTTTGCCTCTTCTCCCTACAATGTACTAGCAGAGAAGAGATGTGTGTGTTCCCTTCAAATATGATCATGCCACTCTTGAAACGTCTAAAGTGGTCACTGTAGAGCAAAGCAAAACCATCTCCTCTCCTCTTCTCTAACTCCATGTATGTGGCTTAGTTAACTGTTCCAGCAGTGCTCCCCCGATATATATTAATGGTAGAGGACTAAAACAAAATCTTAACCTGGGCTCCTCCACAGAAAAGCACGTCACTAGATAGGCCTTTATTTTCCTTTAATCACAGAACATGATTTTTGTAAATGCTTTACTCACCTTGCTACCTTGATCATTTTTGGCTCACATTTTTCTATGTTATTAAGCAGAGCCTTCATAGTCCTTCCTGTTCCAATAATATCCTTTGCAAAATATGAAAAAAGTAAGTAAAATATAACAAGCAAAAAACAGGAAATCTGAGCAACAGGAGAGATGTTTTGTAGTTGTTTTTTTTAATTTCTGGGGAAATGGGGTTATTTTTTTCCTATGGTAGTGTAGGTTATATTCAAAAAAGGTTGGAGGGAAGGCTGTTTTTAGGAGCAGGCATTTTCCCTACTGGGATACACTTCAAGAGAAATACCAACAGGTTGGAGGACTCCTGCTTTCTCCTGAGAAGGATTATGTTCTAGTGCCCTTAAATGCAGTTGTGGGTATTTCAAACACGTCTATCAGTGTTTTCTTAGGAAGCCTGTGATCATAGTATCACAGTCCTGTAACCAAGAGCAGAATGTGGTCTTAAAGAGCGTTTGCCAAGGCACACAGAACAATACAACAAACAATCCTCTCAGATGTGTGCTTCCCCAGACATGTGCCAGAATATAAACACATTCCCTGAACAATAAATAAATGGTTATACAACAGAATAATCACATGGAAAGCACCTGACAGCTACACTTGCTAGGTGTGTAATTTCCACTTGCAGCCTTCAATTACCAAATAGTTTTAATATAATTTGCTGCATGGATTTTTTTTTTATCCTGCTGCAGGAATGAGTGCTAGAGAATTCCAGAGGTCCGGCTGTGTGGTTCAGGCAACCAGTGGTTTTTATACATTCATATTTTATCTCCTGTACTGAAAACCACTTCAAACCATTATTAATTCATTTTGTGGCACCTCCCAGACGATTCATTTTCTCACCTTAAATAGGCAGAATTGGCCTGAGATGCTTATTTTACCCCAACCAGTCCACCAAATGCCTCCTATGTTTCCCACCCCACCTTTAACGTATGTTTTAAAGAGAATTACAGACACAGAGACTTTGCAGTACCAGACTGGTGATATCTTATTTTCAGTATCCCTCATTTTAAGCACCAGATTCCACTGAGCCACTTTCTTTTGAAGTGCTGGCATGGTGGGGTACTCCGGCATGGACACTGCAAATGTAAGCAACTGTCTTACCCAAACGGCCTGTGGAAGTGACATGCAAAGCTCAGAGGCTGTGAGATATACACAGGACCATGTCATTTTACCAGCCCTAAGTCATGAAACTAAACAGTTTAAGGACATCACTGCAGCAGGTACCCTTGTTCCCCAGGCAACTGAATGATTCCTAGAAGGAAGCAGAAGTCTGTCTCACCACCAGAAGGAAGGTGGTGCAAACACATGTGCTCCTGGGTATCTAAGGGTGGTTCCCAAATGGATTCTTTAGAGCAGCACAAATATGGTTTGATCAGTCAGCCAGTCACAGGTATTGGGAAGCCAAGGGGTCAGCAAACAAGTCAACTGCTTCCTATTTAGTGTTCTCCCAGCTCAGGAAACCAGAACATTATTGTGAGTAATATTTTAGAAGCTGACTGCAAAACTGTGATTTTGTTGTCTACGTGCAGCATTCCAGGAAGAGCCAGCTTACCTCCACAATCAGGACATTCTGAAACAAATAAGAGAAACTCAGTTATACAGCAAGCAGTACAAACTACATCACAATTAAAATAAGTAGGCATTAAAAAACAAAAAACAAGACAAACCAGAAAACTTCGACAACTAACTTAGAGCCCTTGTACAGGTTTACAATGGATTAGGATGCAGAAAGTGCTCCTAATATCATGTATGCTGAATAAGAGCCACCTCAAACTGTTCTGCGCTGTGATGAAACAGGCAGCAGACTGTAAATCCTATGCACAAAAGTAGGGAGCAACAGAGAATGCAATTGGATGAGAGAAATGTAATTGAGAATAAATTCATTTTATTTCAGTTTGTACAAACCCAGACTATCAATATGTTGTCCCCAGAGTCACAAACTGTAACAGCAGTAGCTTCTAAAATAAGCTAATGGTTTATATGTTTTTCTAAAATCTGTGCTTTCTGGTATTGGAACTAGGGGACAAATTGTACCAATCTTACTTGCATTGAGAAGTACCATCCTCCTCAACTATTCCAAGTAAATCAACTCAGAATAAAGTACCATTCAATGTAAGCACAGTAAAATCTGGTCCTACATTTGTGTAACCAGCAGCTGATTTTGCTGTTGATACGGTTCTGCTAGGTTAATTCATCCTCATACTCAGAAATGAGGTAGCTAAGATGGTTAATATTCTTCTAGGAGAAGCTGGTCAGGCTGCAGTTGGAGTACTGCGTCCAGTTCTGGGCGCCGCACTTCAGGGGGGATGTGGACAACATCGACAGGGTCCAGAGGAGGGCCACCCACATGATCAGGGGCCAGCAGGGCAGGCCCTACAAGGAGAGGCTAAGGGCCCTGAACCTGTTCAGCCTCCACAAGAGAAGGCTGAGAGGGGATCTAGTGGCCTGTGACAAACTAGTCAGGGGAGACCAGCAGGCATTGGGGGAGTCCCTGTTCCCCTGAGCACTACCAGGAGTGACAAGAAATAAAAGTCACAAGCTGGCAGAGGGTAGATTCAGACTAGACATCAGGAGGTGCTACTTCACAGTCAGGGCAGCTAGGGTATGCAACCAACTTCCAAAAGAAGTGGTGCTGGCTCCTACCCTGGGGGTCTTTAAGAGGAGGCTGGATGAACACCTTGCTGGGGGCGTTTGACCCCAGTACTCTTTCCTGACATGACAGAGGGTTGGACTTGATGATCTGCTCAGGTCCCTTCTGACCCTACTAACTATGAACTATGAAACTATCAATAATCATCCAGGCAATTTGCTAACAGACTCTGTCTATACAAAAGTGATTTGCAGAGGAATGAGACAGTCTTAGAGAATTTCTCTGTTATGAAGGATGATGAGGACTTGAATTTCCATACCCTTTTTGATATCTTACTTCTACTGTTAAGTTCCAAAGCAGTGCTTCACAACAGGTGGGTCAGGGCCCACATGAGGGGCAGGGAGTGTTGACAAAGTGATTACATTCTAAAGTAAAGGAGATCTGACTTCCCGATTCTCCATGTACTCTTTAGAGTAAAACATTCCCTGCCACAACCTACAAATACATTCTATGAATTCATAATTTTTATCACAGATACATTTTCACTTTTACTTTTATAGTTTGCAGCAGGGGTATGTCTTTGAAAATCTTTACTCTGAATAATGGATTAGCAACTGGGACAAATTTAGAAAGAATGTTCTCTAGCTTATTACCTTTCAAGCTAGTGCTTTTATGACATGAACTGGAAAATTTCTATTATAAAGCATGTAAGAGGAATCCTGGCTTGTGATTAGCTAAAATGCTAAAAAGAAGAGAGTCAACACATTTCTACTGTTTACTTCCTCAGAGGTCACTAAAATATGGAGCCAGGTTAACTAAGAAGATGTGTGCCTTGTGACTGACAGCAGTATGTGTTGTGGAAACTATATTTCACCTCCAGGAAGTAAATAATAAATTATTTCAGACTTGTGACATCATTTTCCATCTGAAGAGTTAGTGTCAAAGGGAAAAATGGTCCTACTTTTGAATTTGGAGATGGCTTTTAAGGCAGAAAGCTAAGTCTGCTCCCGTGTCAGCACAGCACAAAGTGCTTTAACATGGTCAAATGCAAAATTGTACATATAAAACCAAAGAACATGTGTCATACTTTACAGAGGGAAGGAAGGGAGATTCTATCCTAGAAAGCCCTAACTGAAAAGGACTTTCTGGCCATAGTAGGTAACGAATTGAACAATAACTCCTAACAGAGTACTATAGACAAGAGGACAAACATAATCCTTGAATGTGTCAGCAGAGCAATATTAAGTAGATACAGAGGCAGTAACACCTTTGTATATGAAATCATCAGTAGAATAACTAGAATAAATACCAGAATAAAGCCATGAATATACAAGACCTTGATCAGCCCAAAGGATACATCTGTAATATATACATTAAATAAAATGGAGCATGGCAAAATTCCCAGATGTTTCTGAGAAAGCCACTCAGAAGGCATGTAAATATGTTTATCCATAACCACTGAGAACAAAGTTCAAATACTGGAGAAGATAAGGATTCCACCCACACCAGAACCATTCACTTTTGAGGAGTGAGATGTTAACCTCAGACACAAAGTATCTTCTATCTTTCTCCTCAATTCATCTGTAGAATAAAATTTTATCATCTTGAACTACATGAATCATCAACATATGAGGACACACATGGGTAGGAACAGGTAAGCATAGTAACTACTGCTATTTTTTGTCAGAAGATTTCTAACATTTTCATTAATGATTCTTCCTAAAGCTCTCATGATGCTTGACCAACATCACACTCAGAAAATTCTTCCTCATCTCCAACTTAAATTTCCTGTGCTGAAGCTTGAGGCCACAGAGGAAAAACCCATCTTCATCCTCTCTATAGTTGACCCTAAGGTATTTGAAGACTGTAATCAAATCCTCCCCCTCCCGCCCCCAATCTTCTCCAGATTAACCTTAGCTTTTTCAGCCTTTCCTCATAAATTATACTTCCCAGGCATCTAATCACTTTTGCTGCTCTCTGCTGGACTCTTTCAAATCAGTCTACATCCTTCTTGAAGTGTGGGGCCAAAAAACGACACAGTACTCCAGATAAGGCTTCACCAATGCTGAACAGAGCACAAGAATCAATTCCTTTCATTTGCAAGTGACACTCTTGTAAATTAAGGTAGAGAAAGGGGTATTTGAGGTTTATGTCACATTGGTCTCCCTCAGAGAGAACTTTCGACTATTTACTGGTGTCCTTCACCTAAGCAAATCTTTGGGTCTATTTATTAAAAGGATATTAAAAAAGGAATGGAACAATAAAAATGATGTAAAAATGCACGTAATAAAATCAAATAAACTCATTTGGCCCTGCAGACTGGATGAGTGGTGCAGGGTCAGTCCATGGGCTGGATTGGGCCTATAGATCCCCCTTCTCCCCTTCCCTCCCACCCTCCCTGTGGCCCCCTCCCTGGGAAACCAGATCCAGCTATGTGGTGCCCAGGAGGCATGCTGTACAAGTCACTCCCCCCTGCAGCCAGTGCTCCACTTGGTCCAGGACCTGTGGGGCATATGGGTCAATTTACATCCAGGGGCAACAGCAAGGGCTGGATGACAGGGCTCCATGGGCCGGGTCAAACCTGTGGGCCATCTTTGACACCCATGATGTAGAGGAATGCTAGAGTTTCTTTCTCTTCCTTTTTTTCTTTGAAGAGCACATACTTAGACATCTGTACAGAAACAGTAGAACAGTCTGAACAAAAAGAGTTAACATAAGCCAGGGAAATAATATTATGTGTGTCTCGGACGGCCAGGGCCGACTCGAGTTACGCTCGTACGTCAGGGCGGGCTGGTGAATGGAGAGGCAGACACAACTTATTGGTTGCAAAAAACTTTACTCACGCCGCTTGCAATCATGACGCAGGTGGTCCGGTCGTCGGAACAACCACACGAGTTGCTCCAGCTGGTGGGGCCCAAGCCAGTTAATCCGTCTGCAATTCGAAGCCGGCGAGGAAAGGGGTACGTCGGGGTTGCGCTCGGTGACGGGAAGAAAGATCGATAGGTGATCAGTCTATCGATCGGCAGCCGCAAGTCAGATAACTTCA